ATTTATGATGGAGAGCCTTGTGATCTGGACCATAAAGAGTCCAGATCCAAACTGTTGCCACAAAGATAGGATCCTGGAAGTGTCCAAAATGAAGGTCACATGTCTGCAGTGACTGACTCTGCAGAAGTTGGCGACCTCGTCACACTTCAGCAACTGCTGACCGTCACTTTACGTGGCCGACCACTAGGTGGCTGAGTTGCTTCCGTTTTCATATTGCACAGCTGGCTGTGGAATATTTAGGAGCGGAAAAATGTCAGGACTGGATTTGTTGCAGTTCCACGTTGGAACTTATTGAACTCCTGAGAGCAAAATATTTGTTCTCATGTGTTTGTAAAAACAGACTTCATTCGTACACCTGTGGCCATGGAGGCGATTAGAACGACTGATTCCATTCATTCGGATGGGTGAGCAAATATTTTTGCCAATATAGTTTATGAATTTCAAAAAACCTGGAAAGCAGCCGAGACATTCCAGTCAAAACCCGGCGACTGAGCTGAGCAGTGAAGGACGCCGCCGCGTTCTGGTCTTACGCATCAAACTCTCTTTAGAAGGTTTTAGAAGTTCTGCTTTGGTCCAATTTATAAAAGTGGGCTTGATTTTGACCAGAACATATTTGGACCATTAGAAAGGAGGTAGTGGTACCAGAGTTCTGCTGGTCTTGGTGCTTGTAGAAACTCTTCATCGGGTCGGTGTGGACCAGCAAGTTTAGGAACTGGGTCAGGGCAGGACTGCTGGTCTCTCCCGTGTTCTGACCGGCCCGGCTCAGCTGCAGGTTCACTCTGTGCTGGAGGATGAGCTGCGGGAAAACAAGAAGACGGATCAGAACCGTCTCCTTACGGCGTGTCAAGACTTGTGACAATAAACCTGTCGGTCCAACTCCAGTGTTTTACGCCACATTCTGCTCTGCCAGAACCAGAACCGCCTGTCCTTTCTACTGCTACAAGGTCCAACGCCGTGTTGCTTTAAGATGTTAGAATGTGGATCAATCCAGCAACACCAGAACCTTCACTGAACAGAACTGCGGCCTGGGTTTCGGGGAACCCAAATGAGTTCTGGTACTTTGACATATCTGTCTGGAGCTTTAGTGTTCTGGTTCTGGTCCAACCACGTTTACTGTGTCAATGGGGACCAGCAGAACCGTGTCCAGAACCGTGGAGAGAAAGGAAAACGATTCCTGCTTTTCAATACTGTAACCTACCAGGACCAGGTTCTGCTGGATCAGTAGACCCGGCAGAACCAGCTCACCTCCTGCTGGTCCAGTTGCAGCAGCAGGTCTGGGACTTGTGGGAACGGCTCGCCGCCCGCAGACTCTGGATGTTGAGTTCTGGGACCACAAACTCCAGGACGTCCTTCAGGGGAAGACCTCGACCCGTCCCGTGTTTGGACGAAGAAGGGACAGAGTCCTCCATGATGGATCCTCTCAGGGTGGACAGCTGAGGAGAAACAGGAAGCTGCTTCTTAAATCTTCTGAAATCTTGCGCTGACTCAGGCCGGTTGGTTCTGTTACCTGGCCGGTCCGGAGGATGATCCTGTAGCAGAACCTGACCGGGTTTCCTCCGATATCCACAGCTTCTCGACGGACGCTCAGGGAAACCGGACCGAACTTCGGATCAACGCCAAAATAATTCTGGTGATCTAGAGGGACACCAGCCAAAAAACAGGTCACAGAACCTGAAACACTGGGAGCAGAACCAGTACCGGAACCAGTACCGGGACCAGGTTGTTACCTTTGGTGTAGAAGTATTTCTGGTAGTACATGGCTCCCAGGTCCAGGTACTCGTCCGTCCCCCTGAGGTCTGCGGGACAGTGCTTGCTTCCTCTGGACGCCTCCAGGACAGACACGGCAGCATTGGTACCGGTAGAGCTGCTGGGCCGGGCCAGGTCCAAGTTCTGGTCCATTTCCCCTCCAAGCTCATTCAGGAAGTGAGGACAGGCTAGGACCAGAGCGCTGCTCCGTTCGTCACCATCCAGGACTTCATGTCCCACTAGCGGCAGCAGAGCAGGAGCTTCTGCACAGGGACGTCCCTCTGCTACAGTGAGGAGGACACTCTGAACGTCATAATGAGAACCACCTGTGAGGGGTCAAAGGCCAGCTGCTGTCCTGGTGCACCTCAACGCTGTTGGTCCGTTGAGGCCTCAGGCGGCCGAGGACAGATGTCTCCGTCTTCTTTCTGGCATCTCTGTCAGTGTCCTGTCCTGGAATGAAGACCATGTCCCCACGTGCGATCTGGACAGCCGCCTGCAGGCTGGGCGAAAGCACAGCAGAGACAGCGTCAGGCTCAGGGACGGGAGGCGGAGCACTGGGCTCCTGGTCCAGAACCTCCCAGAACCCCGCTGAGCCCAGTCGGTCCACGCTGGACGAGCTCCCGTGTCTTCTGGTCAGCGTGGCTGTGGGACCGGCGTCCTCAGATCCAAAGTCACTGATGGTCGCCTCGCTGTTGCTCCTCTTCATGCTCACCAGGCCAGTCCTTAATACCTGGACGTCGGTCTCCGACGGACCTGAGAGGTCCAAGCTGTCCTCCAGAAACTCCCTAGAAGGTCCATCCAACTGGCTCGTTCCCAGGCTGTCAACTCTCGAGGGACGCCGAGCGTTCCCTATCTCCCGCTTCTTTGACCAGTTTGACACACGAACACGAACCCCCATCTGAGGAACAGCTGGAGATCCCTGGGTCTGTGGAGGACCCATGACCTCCAGAGACACTCAGCTGTCCACAGGTCTTCTAAGCAACGAGCAGCGATCAGGAAGTCCACAAAGATCTTTGTCCCAGTTCTGAATCAGAGATCAGGATTCATCCTGCTGCTGTCGGTGGTCCATCGGGTCCAGTCGGTCCACAGATAAGACGTTCCTTTGGACCTGAAAGACAAAAGAACAGCTGAGGAACTGACGGTTCTGAGGTCAAAGGGCAGGACTACAGAACAACTGGGTTTTAGTTGGAAGGAGGATGACAGCATCAAGGATCTTAGGGTCAAAGTTCAATCTGAACCAACTCCAACTTGTCCTCAGAAAAATTCCTCATATTTTTTTCCACAATTCTGATACTTTATGAAATGTAGAAGTATTTCATGGTTTTCAGAAATACAGAGTTAAATCTTCCATCTGTACTTTGGTGAGACATTCGTCCACCAGGGGGCCCATCTCAGACCCTACTCCTAACCTGTGGACAGACACGGCTCTGTCCAACGTCCCCTCATCACCTGGCCTAATGAGGGGACGTTGGAGATCCCCTGGTTCTGACCCTGTGCTGTGGGTCAGAACCAGCTACAGGACAACATCAGTCCTATTTACTGATTCCAATCAGTTAATTGCTGTGTGACATCACTTCCTGCATTACAGAGCTGGGAGCGGCGGATTTCATCTTTGGACAGGAAATCCTCTCCTTCCATCTGGTGGACCTCCGCCTGGATGAGACAGTTACTTAGTTCACCTGTAGTTTAACTAGTTGGTACTAGTTAGTTCAACTTGTGAGCTTTGGATCTGTCTCAGAACCTAGAACCTGGCGGGTTCTGCTCAAGATGGGCCCAAACTGGACTAAACTCAGTCCACAACATCCTGAACTGAGCCTGGGCTCAGCGGGTCGTCTGAAAGGTTGCAGGGTACAGCTGGGACCATGTTCTCCAGGGCCGGTTCTGCCGGTCCAGGGCCGGTTCTGCCGGTCCAGGGCCGGTTCTGCCGGTCCAGGGCCGGTTCTGCCGGTCCAGGGCCGGTTCTGCCGTTCCAGGGCCGGTTCTAGCCATAGGTATATGAGGGGCGTCGTTATGCATACATATTAGAGGTTGATAAACGTCATATATTTTAAGGTGGACTATAAAAATGATGAAAGTCGAGTAGATGTCGATTCCTCGCAGTGATAGAAACATAAAGTCCCTCCACTGGCTCCCTGTAGCTCAAAGAATAGATTTTAAAATGAAATGTCTTGCTGCTGAAATGAGCTAATCAAATAAAATGTAATTGATTGATTGATTGATTGATTGATTGATAAGCGAAAATTCTTGACATCAACTTACAGGCTGTATTATATCCACAGCAAATATTGACAAAAAACGCTTTAAGTCGATTACACAGGAATAAATGTACAAGAAACAGAACATTATCCCAGACTTCTTCGTCAGCCGCGAATTAAAGTCTGAAAAGTTTCAAAAGTCAGCTGTGACTTTGAAGGACGGCTCCCTATGATCTCACCTGATATGATATAATAGCTGCATATATAGAAGCCAAATGATGACACTGACCAGCGACACAATGATGCTTTTGGAACATCACAAACAAACTTCTTATGAATGGATCCTGGGTTCTTCTGAGGGGCCCTGGCCCCCCTGGGCCCCAGCTATAGCCGGCCCTGTGTCGGTCCAAAGAGAGGTTCTCCGGGATCAGAACCCACCCTGACATCGTGCACCGGCTGCAGAGTGAAACACTGTGTTCACTAACGGAACCTGAACACATCGGAACCGGAGGTTCGGAGTTCTGCTGGACTCTGCGGGAGTTCTGGGTCCATGAAACCAACGACATTCAGCTAAACAAAACCAAACAGACCCGAAAAGTTCTGAAAATACCCTCCGAACCCAGGAGAATCCAAAGGCCCCAGAACCACAAGCGGGATCGAACTTCATACAAAAACTTCTGGTTCCCCTGAACTCACCAATAACGCCATAAACACTCCCCGCCGAACCGGAACCACTTCCGGCAGGACCTCCAGCTGGTACCGGGCTGAACTGGTCCCCTGAAAAACTCTTCTCCAGGTTCGGTTCTGTGGTTCTGGTCCCGACTGGGAAAATCTCTCAGCTGTTTCCGGTCGGAGTTTCTGCTGGTGCTGCCTTCACTGACGGCTCGGATTATTAACTACTTTCCTCTGAACATTCGCTCAACAGTTCTGACCACCCTTCATCAGAACCAAGCCATCATCATCATCATCATCATCATCATCATCATCATCATCATCATCATCATCATCATCATCATCATCCCCAGCAGCAGAAGCTGCGCTTCATGAGATTGAAAAAAAAGAGAACTAATATGATATTTGCTGCCACCTGGTGGAGGCGAAGGGAAGCCGAGGCATTTATTGATCGGTATTTCTAATCATTATTGAAAATAATAACCGTTTTAAAGCCCTGTGGGGGTTTAAACCTTCAACAGGATAAAACCAGCAGTCAAGGTGAAAAAGGCAACAACAGGCTTCAGCAGAGCTCTGAATGCTTTTCTTTTCATTTCTTTGGAAATCAAATGAACAAACAAATATACATAAATGTATAAACATCTCAGCAGTTACAGCTTCTGGCTCTCAGTCCCAACATCAATGGTCAGGCAGAAGTGAGCTTCAGAGAGCATCTCCTCCGTCTGCCTGCTCTCTAACAGAACCATGGAAATAGAGGCTTGTTCAATTGTGAAGGTCATCATGGTAACTGATCCCAATGAGAACATCGAAATAACTAATGAAAGTTCCCGTGGAAACTTGTCTGCAGCCGATTGTCACTAGAGACGTGAGGACAGACTGAAACTTAATGCACAAACAGGAACGCAGTGAGAGACGGAGACGTGTTGCAGCCTGAAACAAAACAGAACGGTTACGCCCTGTGGACCAGAACCTGTTTCTGGAGGAGCAGAAAGACTCTCTGGATCGGTGTCGATTCAGGAAAAGAACTGGAAGGACCACACCCACTGGAGACGCTCTCTGCTAATTGTTCTGCATAGTGTTGATCAAGTCCAGAGGACTCCAAAGCTGCATCATAGCCGCAGCTGCCCTGGACCAGAGCATCAGAAATCTATCCCAAGTTTATGAATCCATCTCCCTAAAGGGTTGGTTTGCCCCTTCCCTCGTCTTGTCAGGTCCCGTTGATCTGATTGGTGCTTTGATCACCAGCAGCCGGCGGCAGGAAGCCGGGCAGATTTCAGTTTCCGTCCAGGGTTCAAGATGTCTCTGAACTCTGTCTCCAGGCGAACTCCAGGGACTTTGAAGATGGACACAGCTGAAAAACAGCAAATTATACTTTCATTCAAATAATTTGGATTTTCTTCTGTGTATAAGATGTGATGCTGATGTTCCAAGGTCCTGAACATGACCTGCTCAGCGGAGATGCAGCCTCTCCGCTGAGCTCCGATTGTCCTGCAGCACAGCTGACAGCTGGAGGTGCTGCCCCCTGCTGGCTTCAGAGACTGGCCAATCAGAGCACACCTTTACTTGGCCTGTTAGCCAACCCGTTTGCAGGTGGAGCTTATAGTGGCTACATTTAGCAAATCTGAATATAAAATCTCTGCTCCATGGTTCAGGATTACACATTCATCTGAAAAGATTTTTTTTGGCTCATTAGCAGGTGGTGGAATTACCATCTTTGAGGTGCATGATGGGAGCAGGAAGCGTGCTAAAATATGGATGCTGCAAAGCCTCCTGAGCTGAAATCCGTTCTGTCGGAACCAGCCTGAGCATCTTCTGGACCAGGTCATCAGTCTTACAGGAGAGCTGCTCCAACCTGATGCAGAGGATCAGAGACCGAGCAGAAAGCATGTTAGCAGCTCATCCATCCATCATCCATCCATCATCCATCCATCATCCATCCATCATCCATCATCCATCCATCATCCATCCATCCATCCATACATCATCCATCATCCATCCATCCATCATCCATCATCCATCCATCATCCATCCATCCATCCATCATCCATCCATCATCCATCCATCCATCCATCATCATCCATCCATCATCATCCATCATCCATCCATCATCCATCCATCCATCCATCCATCATCCATCCATCATCCATCATCCATCCATCCATCCATCATCCATCCATCCATCATCATCCATCATCCATCATCCATCATCCATCATCCATCATCCATCATCATCATCCATCCATCATCCATCCATCATCCATCCATCCATCATCCATCCATCATCCATCATCCATCCATCCATCCATCATCCATCCATCATCCATCCATCCATCATCCATCCATCATCCATACATACATCCATCCATCATCCATCCAACATCATCCATCCATCATCATCATCCATCCATCATCCATCCATCATCCATCCATCCATCCATCATCCATCCATCATCCATCATCCATCCATCATCCATCCATCATCCATCCATCATCCATCCATCATCCATCCATCCATCATCATCCATCCATCCATCATCATCATCCATCCATCATCCATCATCCATCCATCATCATCCATCCATCATCCATCCATCCATCATCCATCCATCATCCATCCATACATCATCCATCCATCATCCATCCAACCATCATCCATCCATACATCATCCATCCATCATCCATCCATCCATCCATCATCCATCCATCATCCATCCATCATCCATCCATCCATCCATCATCCATCCATCATCCATCCATCATCCATCATCCATCCATACATCATCCATCATCCATCCATCCATCATCCATCATCCATCATCCATCCATCCATCATCATCATCCATCCATCATCCATCCATCATCCATCCATCCATCATCCATCCATCATCCATCATCCATCCATCCATCATCCATCCATCCATCCATCCATCATCCATCCATCATCCATCCATCCATCATCCATCCATACATCATCCATCCATCATCCATCCATCATCCATCCATCCATCATCATCCATCCATCATCCATCCATCCATCCATCATCCATCCATCATCCATCATCCATCATCATCCATCCATCATCCATCATCCATCCATCCATCCATCCATACATCATCCATCCATCATCCATCCATCATCCATCCATCATCCATCCATCCATCATCCATCCATCATCCATCCATCCATCCATACATCATCCATCCATCATCCATCCATCATCCATCCATCCATCATCCATCCATCATCCATCCATCCATCCATACATCATCCATCCATCATCCATCCATCCATCATCATCCATCCATCATCCATCCATCATCCATCCATCCATCATCCATCCATACATCATCCATCCATCATCCATCCATCCATCCATCATCCATCCCATCCATCATCCATCCATCATCCATCCATCCATCATCCATCCATCATCCATCCATCCATCATCCATCCATCCATCATCCATCCATCCATCATCCATCCATCATCCATCCATCCATCATCCATCCATCCATCATCCATCCATCATCCATCCATCATCCATCCATCCATCATCCATCCATCCATCATCCATCCATCCATCATCATCCATCCATCATCCATCATCCATCCATCCATACATCATCCATCATCATCCATCCATCATCCATCCATCCATCATCCATCCATCATCCATCCATCATCATCCATCCATCATCCATCCATCCATCATCATCCATCCATCATCCATCCATCATCCATCCATCATCCATCCATCCATCCATCCATCCATCCATCCATACATCATCCATCATCATCCATCCATCATCCATCCATCCATCCATCCATCCATCCATCCATCATCCATCCATCATCCATCCATCCATCCATACATCATCCATCCATCATCCATCCATCATCCATCCATCATCCATCCATACATCATCCATCCATCATCCATCCATCATCCATCCATCCATCATCCATCCATCCATCCATCATCCATCCATCCATCATCCATCTCATCCATCATCATCCATCCATCATCCATCCATCCATCATCCATCCATCCATCATCATCCATCATCCCATCCATCATCCATCCATCATCCATCCATCATCCATCATCATCCATCCATCCATCCATACATCATCCATCCATCATCCATCCATCATCCATCCATCATCCATCCATCATCCATCCATCCATCCATCATCCATCCATCATCCATCATCCATCCATCCATCATCCATCCATCATCCATCCATCATCCATCCATCATCATCCATCATCCATCCATCATCCATCCATCATCCATCCATCATCCATCCATCATCCATCATCCATCCATCATCATCCATCCATCATCCAACATCATCCATCCATCATCCATCCATCCATCATCCATCCATACATCATCCATCCATCATCCATCCATCATCCATCCATCATCATCCATCCATCCATCATCCATCCATCATCATCCATCCATACATCATCCATCCATCATCCATCCATCCATCCATCATCCATCCATCCATCCCATCCATCAATCCATCCATCATCCATCCATCATCCATCCATCCATCATCCATCATCATCATCCATCCATCCATCATCCATCCATCCACATCCATCCATCCATCATCCATCATCCATCATCCATCATCCATCCATCCATCATCCATCCATCCATCCATCATCCATCCATCATCATCATCCAATCCATCATCCATCCATCCATCCATCATCATCATCATCCATCCATCCATCCATCATCCATCCATCCATCATCCATCCATCCATCCATCATCCATCCATCCATCATCCATCCATCCATCCATCATCCATCCATCCATCATCCATCCATCCATCATCCATCCATCATCCATCCATCCATCATCCATCATCCATCCATCATCCATCCATCCATCATCCATCCATCCATCCATCATCCATCCATCATCCCATCATCCATCCATCCATCCATCCATCCATCATCCATAATCATCCATCATCCATCCATCATCCATCCATCCATCCATCCATCATCCATCCATCATCCATCCATCCATCATCCATCCATCATCCATCCATCCATCCATCCATTAATCATCCATCATCCATCCATCCATCCATCCCATCCATCATCATCCATCCATCATCCATCCATCCATCATCCATCCATTAATCATCCATCATCCATCCATCCATCCATCCATACATCCATCCATCATCCATCCATCATCCATCCATACATCATCCATCCCATCATCCATCCACCCATCCATCCATCATCCATCCATCCATCCATCCATCCATCCATCCATCCATCCATCCATCCATCCATCCATCATCCATCCATCCATCCATCATCCATCCATCCATCCATCCATCCATCATCCATCCATCCATCCATCATCCATCCATCATCCATCCATCCATCCATCCATCCATCCATCATCCATCCATCCATCCATCCATCCATCCATCCATCCATCATCCATCCATCCATCATCCATCCATCCATCCATCATCATCCATCATCCATCCATACATCATCCATCCATCATCCATCCATCCATCCATCATCATCCATCATCATCCATCCATCATCCATCCATACATCCATCCATCCATCATCCATCCATCATCCATACCATCCATCATCCATCCATCCATCATCCATCCATCCATCATCCATCCATCCATTAATCATCCCATCCATCCATCCATCATCCATCCATCCATCCATCCATCATCCATCCATCCATCATCCATCCATCATCCATCCATCCATCCATCCATCATCCATCAATCCATCATCCATCCATCATCCATCCATCCATCCATCCATCATCCATCATACATCATCCATCATCATCCATCATCCATCATCCATCATCCATCATCCATCCATCATCCATCCATCCATCATCCATCCATCATCCATCCATCATCATCCATCCATCATCATCCATCATCCATCATCCATCCATACATCATCCATCCATCATCCATCCATCCATCATCCATCCCATCTGTCCATCATCCATCCATCATCCATCCATCATCATCCATCCATCCATCATCCATCCATCCATCATCCATCCATCCATCATCATCCATCCATCATCCATCCATCCATCATCCATCATCCATCATCCATCCATCATCCATCCATCCATCATCCATCCATCATCCATCCATCCATCATCCATCCATCCATACATCATCCATCCATCATCCATCCATCATCCATCCATCCATCATCCATCCATCATCCATCCATCATCCATCCATCCATCATCCATCCATCATCCATCCATCCATCCATCCATCATCCATCCATCATCCATCCATCATCCATCATCCATCCATCATCCATCATCCATCCATCATCCATCCATCCATCATCCATCCATCATCCATCCATCCATCATCCATCCATCCATCATCCATCCATACATCATCCATCCATCCATCATCCATCCATCCATCATCCATCCATCCATCCATCCATCATCCATCCATCCATCATCCATCCATCATCCATCCATCCATCATCCATCCATCCATCCCATCATCCATCCATCATCCATCCATCCATCATCCATCCATCATCCATCCATCCATCATCCATCCATCCATCATCCATCCATCCATCCATCCATACATCATCCATCCATCATCCATCCATCCATACATCATCCACGTCATCCATCCATCCATCATCCATCCATCATCCATCCATCCATCATCATCCATCCATCATCCATCATCCATCCATCCATCCATCATCCATCCATCATCCATCCATCCATCATCCATCATCCATCCATCCATCCATACATCATCCATCCATCATCCA